TGACCGACGTACAGCGACACGTGGCATCGTGTCCCACTTGCCAGATCATGAAGTCAACCCGGAAGCGGCCGGCGGGACAGTTGCAACCAATCCCACCCCCAGAGCGTGCTTGGCAGCAGGTGACGATGGACTTCGTCACGGGGTTACCGACCGGAGCGAGTGGGAATGACGCGATCCTGGTCATCGTTGATCGACTGACGAAAATGGCACACTTCGCAGCCTGCAAGAAATCAATCACAGCCGAAGAAACAGCCCGCCTCTTCATCTCTACCGTCGTTCGACTGCACGGGATACCAGCATCAATCATCAGCGGCAGAGACACGAAGTTTACTAGCAACTTCTGGCGGAACCTGTGGCAGCAGTTCGGCACGCGACTACAGTTTAGTTCATCGTATCACCCCGAAACAGACGGACAGACAGAACGGACAAATCAAACCATGGAGCAACTCATCAGGGCCACGTGCGACGATCCAAACACGTGGGAGCAACAACTACCACTCATCGAATTCGCATACAACAACGCCCCATCCGTCACGACCCAACAGTCACCGTTTTACCTGAATTACGGACAAGACCCAACAGTACCCATGACCCCGAATCCCGACAACCCGGTTCCACGCGTGCAACAGTTCGCTGAAATTCTGCAAGCGGCACGGACCAGGGCAGCAGACGCAATCAAAAAATCGAACATCATCGCTAAACGCAACGCCGACCGCCACCGCAGACCTGCCACTTACCAGCCCGACGACCTAGTTTTACTCGACACCCAGAACCTCCGACCGCCCATCACACCCAAACTCCGCCCCCGATACTGTGGGCCATTTCGTATCAGCCACATGATAACACCCGTCACTGCCCACCTCCTCCTCCCTGCTGACTGGTACGTTAGCCCCTCGTTCCACGTCAGCCTGCTTCGCCCCTACGTCCCATCCACAAGCCAACTCCCAAGCAATCGCCCAGCCAGCATGGCACGACCGCCAACCGAACCAATCATCACCCCCGACAAAATCCTGAGCCACAGAGTTTGTGACCCACGAGGAGCCCTAAAGATCGAGTTCCTGATCCGCTGGAAAGACCGTACACCCACCGAAGACAATTGGGTTCCCCTGGACAGAATCGAAAACCACCCTATTCTCACCGAATATCTGCGCAGCCGACACTTCAGGGACGTCCACGCACTTTCGTAAGGAGGACCTCCTTAGGAGGTGGGGTAGTGTAAGGAAAATCACTTTTCCTTCTTCGCATCCCTGCTCAACGCGTACATCACTATAGCACCACAGTCAGCACCGTTACCACTCGCGACCCTCGCATTGACAATCAGCCCGCCAATTTCGCACATCGCACCCCAACCGCACAGCTCGGCTGGTAACCCGCGCTCCGGGCCTCCGCTTCGACACTTTCCCAAACCTCAGTCCCAGGCCCGTCACGCGACAACCACAGTCCATTACCGTTACCACTGTAGTTTCGCTATATATTCTTTGCTCATGCCTTCGCTCATTGGATTCTTGCTTCGATAGTGCAATTCTCGTTCATTTACTCAATTGCACTCGTAACAGTCATCTTAATATGAAGTATGTACAGTGGCAGTTGTGCAATTCAAGTTTGCCTTAGAAATTGTTACGAGTGCAATTGAGTGATCGAATGAGAAGTGCACTATCGAAGCAAGAGTACAACGAGCGAAGGCATGAGCGAAGAATATATAGCGAAACTACGGAGGTAACGGTAATGAAATGTGGTTGACGCGCGACGGTCCTGGAATTGAGCTTGGGAAAATGTCGAGGCGGAGGCCCGAAACGCGGGTTACCCACCGAGCCGTGAGGTCGGGGTGCGACGTGCGAAGGTGGCGGGAGGATTGCCGATGCGAGGTTTGCGAGTGGTAACGGTGCTGACTGTGGTGCTACAGTGGTGTATGCGCTGAGCAAAGACGCGAAGCATGGAAAGGAATTTTCCCTACACTACCCCCTGTTAAAAGTTAGAAGAAAGAAAGGGGGTTGAACTAGCAAGAATGAGGATACAAATAGCAAACCCTAGAAGGGTTGTACTCGCTATAGAGCACCCCACTACAGGCTAGAACAATAAGATAATATTCTGACACCCCCCCCACTAAGGAGGCCCTCCTTTATGAAAGTGCGTGTACATCCCGAAAATTTCGGGTGCGCAGATACTCGGTGAGGACAGGGTGGTTTTCGATTCTATCCAGAGGAACCCAGTTGTCTTCGGTGGGTGTACGGTCTCTCCAGCGGATGAGGAATTCGATCCTTCGAGCTCCTCGTGGGTCACGAACTCGGTAGCTCGTGTCATGCTAGCTGGGCGGTTATGGGGCAGTTGGCTGGTGGATGGTACGTAGGGGCGAAGCAAGTTGACATGGAAGGACGGGCTGACGTACCAGTCAGCAGGGAGGAGGAGATGGGCGGTGACGGGTGTGATCATGTGGCTGATGCGGAATGGCCCACAATATCGAGGGCGGAGTTTCGGAGTAATGAGTAGGCGGAGGTTCTAGGTGTCGAGTAAGACTAGGTCGTCAGGCTGGTAAGTGACAGGTCGCCAGTGGCGGTCGGCGTTGCGTTTAGCGATGATGTTCGAAGTTTTATTTGCGCCTGCTGCCCGGGTCCGTGCTGCTTGTAAAAATTCGGCGAACTGTTGCGCTCGTGATGGCAGAGGTCCACTGTGTCAGTAGAGCTATACTGTGAGATCCCCGATCGATCCTAGGGGGGCTACATGCGCGTTTGCCTGGGGGGTTATGGGCGCACTGACCCGCTACTGAAACAAGCCCTTTTATCCCAATGGTCCAGTGGTTGGGATTCTGACATGGTATCGGAGCGGTCTCGGGTTCGAATCCCGGTGTATGCACATGTTGGCTGTTGCCACTGTGCGTAGTCCTGGGCCTCCCAGTGTGGGGGGGTGTCAGTAGAGCTACACTGTGAGATCCCCGATCGATCCTAGGGGGGGCTACAGGCGCGTTTACTTGGGGGGCTATGGGCGCACTGACCCGCTACTGAAACAAGTCATTTTATCCCAATGGTCTAGTGGTTGGGATTCTGACACACTGGTGATCCCCGATTGATCCTAGGGAAGGGTTACAGGCTCGTTGTCCTTGGGGGATATGGGCGCACTGACCCGCTACTTAACAAGCCCTTTTATCCCAATCGTCTAGTGGTTGGGATTCTGACAAGGTATCAGAGCGAAGGTCTCGGGTTCAAATCCCAGTGTTTGCACTTCGGGCATCCCAGTACGGGGGGGTGTCAGAGGTCCACTGGTGATCCCCGATTGATCTTAGGGAAGGTTTACAGGCTCGTTGTCGTAGGGGGTTATGAGCGCACTGACCCGCTACTTAACAAGCCCTTTTATCCCAATGGTTTAGTGGTTGGGATTCTGACACGTGACACCGGATAGTCGGGATTTGGGGTCATGGGTATGTCAGGCTTATATGACTTAGCCTATATGGCTATAGTGGGGTAGCACATATGGGGTACGACACATTTCTAGGTTTTGTACTTGTATCCAACTCTCCCTTAGTCATTTCATTCCTCCTTTCTTATCATGGTATCGAGCAGGTTCCCTAGTGGGAACGCTACCTAGGGCCCACCACGATATATTTTTTTTCCTGCCCGGAGCGCGCTTCACTCCTGCCCGAGTCGCGCTCTGTGTGCCCTCCCTACCTTCGCGTCGCCCTTAGTGGCCCCTCTTACGGCCCCTTACGCCGCCCTTACGGCCCCTCGCGCCGCCCTCTACGGCCCCTCGCGCCGCCCTTACGGCCCCTCGCGCTGCCCTTACGGCCCCTTACGGCCCCTTACGGCCCCTCACGCCGCCCTTACGGCCCTCGCGCGGCCCCTTTCGGCCCCTCGCGGCGCCCTTACCGGCCCCTTACGGCCCCGTCGCCGCCCCGTTTAGGCCCCTTGCGGCCCAGTCTAGGCCCCTTGCGGCCCCTCTGCGGCCCCGTCTAGGCCCCTTGCGGCCCCTCTGCAGCCCCTCTGAGACCCCGTCGCCGCCACCTGCGGCCCCGTCGCCGCCACCTGCGGCCCCGTCGCCGCCACCTAGGGCCCCGTCGCCGCCAACTACGGCCACTCAACCGCCACCTGCGGCCCCGCCGCCACCTGCGGCCCCTTCGCCGCCACCTGCGGCCCCGTCGCCGTCACCTGCGGCCCCGTCGCCCTCCCCTAGCGGCCACGTCACCGCCTCTACCGGCCCTGTCACTGCTCAGCCGCCCAGCGACCGAGCCGCCGAGCAGCCCAGCAGCTGAGCCGCCCAGCAGCCGCGCCGCCCAACAGCCGAGCCGCCCACCTGCCGAGCAGCCGAGCCGCCCAGCAGCCGAGCCGCCCAGCAGCCGAGCCGCCGAGCAGCCGAGCCGCCCACCAGCCAAGCCGCCGAGCCGCCCAGCAGCCGAGCCGCCCAGCAGCCGAGCCGCCCAGCCACCGAGCCGCCGAGCCGCCGAGCCGCCCTATTGTCGAGCCGCTGCTGTTCCTACCGGTGCGCCCCGGCCCTCCTTCCTCGGACTAGTGAGCTCACTCCCTACTAGGCCACTGCAGTCATGGATACCCCCAGTGTCCTTACTTTTGATGCTGAGGGCCGTGCCGTGACTTTGAGGTCTGGGTCAATGACCTCCAGCTGTTTCTCCAGTGCGATAGGGCAGACGGACTCTCTCTGTTCGATCTCACCTCTGGTGTCTCTCCCGCCCTGCCTGCTACTGCAGACAGCACTGTTCGCTCACAGTGGGCCACACGCGATGCTGCTGCTCGCCTTGCTGTGCGTCGCCACTTACCGACCGCTGAGCGTGCGCACTTTAGCCAGTACAAGAGTGCTAAGACCTTGTACGACGCTGTAGTTGCAGGCTACTCCTCCCCTGCCACTGCTGCTCTTAGCCGCCTCATGCTGCCGTACATGTTCCCTGACCTTGCTGCCTTTCCCATAATTGCTGACCTCATAGCTCACCTTCGCACTAGTGACATTCGCTACCGCGCTGCGCTTCCTGCTGAGTTCTGTGCCAAGAACCCCCCCCCCCCATGTACATCACCCTCTACTACATAGTCACCCGCCTCCCTGACTCCCTTCGCTTAGTCAGGGACCACTTCCTCTCAGTTTGCCCCACCACTCTCACCGTCGATCTCCTTGAGGAGCGCCTCCTAGCAGCAGAGAAGAGCATAGTCGCTGTAGGAGCCTCTCGTGGTGACCCTCACACCCTCGTCTTTGAGGGGTGTTCCCCCTCCCCCCTCTTGCCCTCTGTTGCCTCTGCTGCTGCGGCCGACCTCGTTGGTTTCGAGTCGGTCGGCGCTGCGTCTGCCCCGAGCGGGAGACACCGCACCGGCAAGGGCAAGGGGGGCAACGGCGCTGGAGGGGCTGGCGGGGGCGGTGGAGGTGGTGGTGGAGGCACTGGAGGGGGTGGGGGTGGTGGTGGGAGTAGTGGCGGGGGTGGAGGTGTCGGTGGCAGCAGTGGAGGCGGAGGAGGCGGCGGCGGTGGCGGAGGGAGCGGAGGCGGCGGAGGTGATGGAGGCGGCGGAGGCGGCGGAGGTGGCGGAGGCGGCGGCGGGAGCGGTGGACCTGGTCGTGGCTCTCCGCAGAGGAGTGGCTCCGGTGGTGGTACGCGCCAGCAGCAGCAGCGCAGTCGTGAGACCCTATCCCCTCAGCAGCTTCGTGACTGGTACGCTGCGCGTCAGCGCGGTGGGGGTACGGGTCCCTGCACCTACGTTCTCCGTACCGGTGACCGCGCTGGTGAGCAGTGCGGGGGCCCGCACTCCACCCAGCACTGCTTCGGCCGCCTGACGGACGCGTGGCGTCACCAGTTCCCTGTGGCCTCTGAGATCCCTCGCTGGGGAGAGCTGTCTAGGGCGGGGGTTGCTATCTTTGATCTTGATTTTGATGCTATTCTTGCTGCCATGCATGCTGTTTCTGATAGTGTTGAGGGTGACTGTTACCTGTGTGTTCCGCCTGACCCGGGCATTGAGACTACTGCTCTAGGTGCTGGTGAGGCTGCTCCTCTAGGTGCTAGCGCGTCTGCTGCCCCAGGTGCTGGCGAGTCTGCCCTCTCAGGTACCACGTCGGCTCAGGCCTTACACACCTTCACCCTTGACTCGGGTGCTTCCCGCTCCTTCTTTCGGGACCGCACCACACTTACGCCGCTCAGTCGGCCGGTTGCGGTCTCCCTGGCGGACCCCTCTGGGGGTCCTGTCCTTGCTCGCTTCTCCACTGTCTTACCGTGTCCGGCAGCCCCCTCTGGCACCTTGTCAGGTCTCTACCTCCCCTCGTTCTCTACGAACTTGGTGAGAGGAGCTGATCTACAGGATAGGGGGGTTGACCAGTTCATTCCTGCGAGTCAGCGGGTGACCCACTGCACGTGTCCTACGTCTCCACTACCGTCACTCCGTATCTCGGACTCAACATCCGCGAAGAAGAAAACGCGATCCACCTCAGCGCCGAAAAGTATGCCGACACCATCGCCAAACGCTTCGCGCTCACACCCGCTACTATCTCCACGCCATACCGCTACACGGCAGGGAACGACAAAGGAAGCTCCGCCTTACTCAAAACCGCCGGAATACGCGACTACCAGCGAAAACTGGGCTGCCTCCTCTTCGCAGCCGTCACCTGTCGGCCAGACCTGTCCTACTCCGCAAGTCAACTTGCTACCTATCTCAAGAGGCCCGAAACAGAACACCTAGCGGAACTCGACCGCGCTCTTCACTATTTCGTGAGCACCGCAACGATCGGCCTGACGTACTACAAAAACACAACTACGCCGACGAAACTAATCGGCTACGTCGATGCCGATCACGCCGGCGACTCAGATAACAGGCGCTCCCGCACTGGCTACATCTACCGCCTCGAACCTATCGGACCTATCTCCTGGCAATCGAGCAAGCAGGAACTAATTGCTCTCTCTTCAGCTGAAGCAGAATATATCGCCCTCTGCTCAGCCACCAAGGAAGGACTCTACCTTCGCGAGCTGCTGGAAGAAGCGAAGTTAGCCGAGTTACCCAACTTCACTTTGTTCTGCGACAACCAATCTGCAATTCGCATCTCCAACAAGAGCGGATTCGCGAACAGAACGAAGCATATCGCCCTGCGATACTTCTTCGTGAAGGACGAGATCGAGAAAGGGAAACTTAAACTATCCTACTGTCCCACGTCCGAGATGGCAGCTGACTACTTGACCAAGAAGCTCGGAAAACAGAAGTTCGAGTACTGCATGCTGCTGACTGGACAAAGCCACGTCACCATCAGCGACACTCCAGAAGCGAAGGGGAGTGTTGGGAACAAATAGTTTAAGCGCCTCTGTCGTGTCAGAACTCAAGACACAAGCGAAGCAGCTCAAATCGAAGCATCGCGAGTCAACCCTCGGAAGTTAACGTAACCGCTGGAGGTTACGAGAAAGTCAAAGGTCAGCGACCTTTGACCTGACGCAGCGCGACAACAAGGACACACAACTGACTCGACATCGAGCAGTTGCCCGAGTCGCACTATATCGAACCGCAACAGTAAAGTAGTCATAATGTCTCTTCATATTCTTTGTACTCATATATTTATTCCTGTATCTCTTTGCTTTAATCAACTTACTTTGCCCTCACATACTAGCGCAAGGTGGTTCAAGGACTTTATTCAACGCTTCCGCTATTACATCACTTACTCAGACTTTAACTCTACAAAGATCCTAGGGCTTTTCAGCCCAACAGGTGCGACCCTAGTCCTTTCCATGCCAGGCATCGAGGGGGCGGCGCCATCACTGGCTGCGCCTCAGCGTTGTCCCACGCTGTCATTCTGTGTCGGTGTGCCTGATGAAATGATGATTGGCTCCTCCGATTGTGGAGGTGCATTTCCAGTTGCGCTGGAGTATTCACCGTGGATTGCTGACGCGTGGAGTTACGTTCCGCCTTGAGCGTCGTGTCAGAACATATATGTAGCTTATGCTGTTGTGTAGGCTACAGTGGGGTATACCATAGGGGGTACAACCCAATTAGGGTTTTGCTATTTGTACTCACTTCACTCATAGTTCATTCATTCTCGTTCTATTTTCCACATGGTATCGAGCAGGTTCCCCCGTGGGAACTGTGCTTAGGGCCCACCACTTTTAACCTTTTTTTCTGCCCGGAGCGCGCTCCGGGCCCTCGCTCTCACTCTTTCGGCCTGCCCTGCAGGCCCCTAGCCACCCACGCGCCGCCAGTCCCGGCCCCTAGCCGCTCGCGCGCCGCCCGTTCAGGCCCCTAGCCGCCCGCGCGCCGCCCGTCCTGGCCCTCAGCCGCCCGCGCGCCGCCTGTCCCGGCCCCTAGCCGCTCGCGCGCCGCCCGTTCAGGCCCCTAGCCGCCCGCGCGCCGCCTGTCCCGGCCCCTAGCCGCTCGCGCGCCACCCGTTCAGGCCCCTAGCCGCCCGCGCGCCGCCCGTCCCGGCCCCTAGCCGCTCGCGCGCCGCCCGTTCAGGCCCCTAGCCGCCCGCGCGCCGCCCGTCCCGGCTCTCAGCCGCCCGCGCGCCGCCTGTCCCGGCCCCTAGCCGCTCGCGCGCCGCCCGTTCAGGCCCCTAGCCACCCGCGCGCGCCCGTCCCGGCCCCTAGCCACCCGCGCGCGCCCGTCCCGGCTCCTAGCCGCCCGCGCGCGCCCGTCCCGGCCTCACACCGCCCGTGCGCCGCCCGTCCCTGCTGCACGCCGCCGTCCCGGCCCCCCCCCACGCCGCCCGTTAGCCGCCGTGCAGCCTGAGCCGCCCGAGCCGTCTGCGCAGCTGAGGAGCCGAGCCGCCCGAGCCGCCTGTGCCGCTGACTGCCCGAGCTGCCCGAGCCGCCTGAGCCGCCCGAGCCGCCCGAGCCGCCTCCCCCCCCCCCCCCCCCCCCTTTTCCCGTCGCCTGTCGAGGCGACCTGAGGGGGCCGCTTGGGTGGCAGGTGTGTGGTCTCCCCTGCTTCTCCTCCTCCTTCGTCTCGAGCCGCCCTGCAGCCGAGCCGCCTCGCCGCCGAGCCGCTTTACACCCGAGCCTCCCAGCAGCCGAGCCGCCCTGCAGCCGAGCCGCTCTACACCTGAGCCTCCCAGCAGCCGAGCCGCCCTACAGCCGCGCCGCCGGGTCGCCGAGCTGCCGAGCTGCAGTTGCTGCCGAGCTGCCCTGCCGCCGAGCCGCCCGAGTCGCCCGAGCCGCAGAGCCGCCGTGCTGCCGAGCCGCTGAGTCGCCGAGCCTACTCTACCCACCACTGGTGAGCCCCTGCCCTGCTAGCACGCTGCGCGTCGCCTGCTTGCCTGCCTGCCTCCCTTTTTGGCTTGCCTGACTGCCTGCCTTACTGCTGCTACTCCTGCTCCTGCCTCTACTGGTGGAGCCAGATGCGGCCCCATAGACGTCTGCGTGAGTCCCTCACGCCCCAGCAGCTGCGTGAGTGGTACGCTGGTTGGGGCTGTAGGGGTGGTGGCGCTACTACTGCTACCACTCCTGCTGCTTCTACTACTGGTGGCGGCCAGATGCAGCTCCCGCGACCCCCCCGCGCGTCTCTCACGCCTCAACAGCTTCGTGAGTGGTACGCTCAGAGTGGAGGGTCTCTCAGTTCTGTTCGCTGCTCTTACGTGATTCTCACTGGTGCTCGGACTGGTCAGCCTTGTGGGACACCTGGTCATACACAGTCCCGCTGCTTCGCCCGTCTGAGCGGCGCCTGGCGTACCGTGTTTGGCGACGAGGCTGAGCTCCTCGACTGGGTGGAGTTGCTTAGGCAGAGGGTAGATATATTTGCTCTTGACTATGATGCTATTCTCACTGCCATGTATGCATTGCCTACTAGTGCTGACCGTACCGGTCACCTGTGCGTACCGCCTGACCCGGGTATAGGACCTGCTGCTCTAGCTACTGGTGAGGCTGCTGCTGCTCTGGGTGCTAGTGAGTCTCCTGCTCCAGGTACAGGTGCGGCTGCTGCTCTAGGTGCTAGTGAGTCTGCTTCCTCAGGTGCGGGTGAGGCTGCGCTCTCAGGTACCACGTTGGCTTCGGCCTCCCTCACCTTTACACTTGACTCTGGGGCTTCTCGCTCCTTCTTTCGGGACCGCACCACACTCACGCCGCTTGGTCGGCCTGTTGCAGTCTCCCTGGCTGACCCCTCTGGGGGTCCTGTCCTCTCTCACTTTTCCACTGTCCTCCCGTGTCCGGCTGCCCCCTCGGGCACCCTGTCTGGCCTGTACCTCCCCTCGTTCTCGACGAACTTGGTGAGTGGTGCAGACCTGCAGGATGCGGGGGTTCACCAGTTCACTCCTGCGAGTCAGCGGGTGACCCACTGCACGGACGCACGCACAGGCCGGCACCTGGCCACGTTCTCGCGTCGGCCGGGGTCGAGCCTCTACACCCTGACCACTGAGTCTCCTCCTGTCCCTGCGTCCGGTCAGGTAGCAGCGTCAGGTCAGGTGTTTGGTGCTGCGTCCAGGTCTGGTCCTGAGTCTGCCCCCTGCTCGTGTCGCCTCTTGTCTCACGAGACTCTCCTGTGGCACCACCGTCTTGGCCACCCCTCCTTGCCCCGTCTTCGGGGCATGGCTTCCCGTGTCCTTGTCTCTGGTCTTCCCCAGTCTCTCCCTCCCCTTCCTTCGGGACCAGGACCTTCCTGTGTCCCCTGTGTCGAGGGGCGCCTTAGGGCTGCTCCTCACTCCTCCCAGTTTCCCCCGACAGAGGCTCCTCTGCAGACACTTCACATGGACGTGTGGGGCCCGGCCCCCGTCCGTGGGCAGGGTCACGAGCGCTACTTCCTGTTGGTGGTTGACGACTACTCGCGTTACACCACAGTCTTCCCCTTGCGCAGCAAGGGTGCTGTCACTGAGGTGCTGATCGACTGGATCCGCGAGGCTCGTCTCCAGCTCAGGAGGAGCTTCGGCTCGGACTTTCCTGTTCTGCGTCTGCACTCTGACCGAGGTGGGGAGTTCTCCTCTCGCCTTCTGCGAGACTACTGTCGTGCACAGGGGATCCGCCAGACCTTTACGCTTCCGGACTCTCCACAGCAAAATGGGATTGCTGAGCGCCGCATTGGCATGGTCATGGATGTCGCTCGTACGTCCATGATGCATGCGGCTGCCCCCCATTTTCTGTGGCCGTTTGCGGTTCGGTACGCGGCGCATCAGCTCAACCTTCACCCCAGGGTCTCTCGGCCCGCGATGTCCCCAGTGTTACTGTGGACGGGGAAGGTCGGCGATGCGTCTACGTTCCGTGTCTGGGGATCTCGGGCGTTTGTCCGCGACTTGTCTGCGGACAAGCTGTCCCCCCGTGCTGCTCCCTGTGTCTTCCTTGGCTTCCCCCCTGACGCTCCAGGGTGGCAGTTCTACCACCCCTCCTCTCGTCGTGTTCTGTCCTCCCAGGACGTCACGTTCGACGAGTCAGTCCCCTTCTACCGCCTCTTCCCCTACCGTACTCCTCCCCTTCCCCCCCCACCGGACTTCCTGGTGCCAGTTCCCCCCCCGGTAGACCCCCTCCCCCCTCAGGTTCCTGCCCCTTCAGGTGTGTCCCAGGTAGACACAGTCGAGCCAGTCGAGGTTGCTGCTGAGTCTGGTCCTGCTGCGGGTGCAGAGTCTGGGGGTGCTACGCCTGCAGGTGCTGAGCTTGGGGGTGCTGCTGCTGGGGGTGCTGAGCCTGGGGGTGCGAGGCCGGGGGGTGCTGAGCTTGGGGGTGCTGCTGCTGGGGGTGCTGAGCCGGGAGGTGCTACGTCAGGAGCTGCTGAGCCTGGGGGTGCTGAGCCTGGAGGTGCGGAGCCTGCGACTGCTGGACCTGGGGGCTCTCCGGTTGCTCCGTCTCGGCGGGAGCCGCTCTCTCCACAGAAGCTGCGCGAGTGGTTTGCTCGCCGCTGAAGGCGTGCTGCTGGAGCTGGAGCTCCTTCGACTGCTGAGGGTGCTGGTGCTGCCGGTCCCGGAGCTGCTGGGCCTGCGGGTCCTACTGGAGCTGGAGCTGCTGAGCCTGGGGGTGCTGAGTCTGGAGCTGCTGAGCCTAGGGGTGCTGAGTCTGGAGCTGCTGAGCCTGGGGGTGCTACGTCTGGAGCCGCCGAGCCTGGGGTTTCTCCTGGTGCTGCGTCTCGGCGGGAGCCCCTCTCTCCACAGTAGCTGCGCGAGTGGTTTGCTTGCCGCTGGAGGCGTACTGCTAGAGCTGGAGCTTCTTCGACCGTCGAGGGTACTGGTGCCGCCGGTCCCGGAGGTGCTACGCCTGCGGGTCCTACTGGAGCTGGGGCTGCTGAGGGCGTTGGTGCTGAGTCTGCTGCTGTCTGTCCTGACGGTGATTCTGCTGCTGGTGCTGCTGGAGGTCCTGCCGCTGGAGGTGTTGGTGGCGCTGGTGCTGCCGCTGAGGGTGCTGGTGCTGTCCCTGCTGAGTCTGGAGCTGCCGCGCGGCCTCGGCCGTTTCCGCTTCTGTAGCAGGTTCTTGGTCTTTCTCCTCCGGTAGAGTGTCCACAGCCTGTCCAGTCGCAGTCACTGTTGGAGCCTACCTCCCCACTGCCTGCTCCCTCTCCTTACACTGGTCCTACTGGAGGTCTTGCTGAGCGTCGTGAGCCTGCGTCTCGTCCCGCGTCGCCTGTTCGTGCTGCCCGCGCTAGTGGTCGTGGTTCGCGTCCGCGTCCTCCTCCTGTCCCTGGCACGCACCGGATGTCTCTGCGTCCGTCCACTGCTCCTCTGCGTGCCCTTTTGCCTTCTCCTCCTGAATCCTCCCTTCCTGTGCTTACCGACCCAGAGTCGGACTCCCTTCGTGCTGCCAGTCCTACTGTCACGCGTCTCCTTGCTAGTGTCGTCACTGACCCCTCTTTTGAGTCCGCTGCTGCGTCTGCTCTTGTCACTGACCTCGTCGACTTTGCTGCTCGCTGTCGTCTAGACTACACTGCTAGTCTTGTTGCTGAGTCTGCGTCTGTCTGTCCTCCGTCCGTCGGGGGTGAGTGTGCTCTTGGCACGGACGTCCTAGAGGACAGGCAGGAGGAGTTACAGTGTCTGGCTGCTGCTTCACCTCATCTCGCGTCTGTACTGCTTGCTCCTGAGGGAGACCCGGATGCACTAGACATCCCGACTCCGCGCTCTTACGCGGAGGCCGTAGAGGGTCCCTACTCCTCTCAATGGCAGGCAGCTATGGATGCAGAGGTGGCTTCCTGGAAGTCCACAGGCACCTACGTTGACGCGGTTCCCCCTCCTGGGGCGAACATCGTCAGTGGCATGTGGATCTTCAGGGTGAAGCGGCCGCCGGGCTCTCCACCTGTCTTCAAGGCGCGGTACGTCGCTCGTGGCTTCAGTCAGCGGCAGGGAGTTGACTACTTTCAGACCTTCTCTCCCACCCCGAAGATGACCACTCTTCGGATGCTGCTGCACATAGCCGCTCAGCGCGACTACGAGCTTCACTCTCTCGACTTCAGTACTGCGTTCTTGCAGGGGAGCCTGCACGAGGAGATCTGGCTGCGCCGTCCACCTGGCTTCACTGGGACTTTCCCTCCTGGCACCCAGTGGAGCCTCCGACGGCCAGTCTACGGTCTCCGCCAGGCACCACGTGAGTGGCACGACACACTGAGGACTACACTTGCGGCCCTTGGGTTTGCTCCTTCTACTGCTGACCCGTCGCTGTTTCTGCGCACCGACACTTCACTGCCGCCGTTCTACATCCTCGTGTACGTCGACGACTTGGTCTTTGCCACATCGGACACTGCTGGACTCGCCTACGTGAAGTCCGAGCTGCTGAAGAGACACACGTGCACAGACCTGGGTGAACTGCGCAGCTACCTTGGCTTGCAGATCACTCGGGACAGAGCACGCCGCACCATTACCTTGACTCAGTCACACATGGTGCAGCAGGTCCTTCAGCGCTTCGGCTTCACGTACTCCTCGCCTCAGGCCACTCCTCTGTCTACTCGCCACTCGCTCTCAGCTCTGCCTTCGGATGAGTCCGTAGAGTCGAGTGGCCCGTACCCAGAGCTTGTTGGCTGCCTCATGTACCTGATGACCTGCACACGACCTGACCTTGCATACCCTCTTAGCATTCTTGCACGCTATGTTGCTCCTGGGAGACACCGACCAGAGCACATGGCTGCAGCGAAGAGGGTATTGCGCTACCTGTGCAGTACGTCGGGCATGGGGCTAGTGCTTGGAGGGCGGAGTCCAGTGGTACTTACAGGTCACGCGGACGCTTCTTGGGCTGACGACCAGGCTACGCAGCGGTCGTCACAGGGTTACACCTTCAGCCTTGGCTCCGGCTCTGTCTCGTGGCGGGCTACTCGCTCGTCTTCGGTTCTCAGCTCGAGTTGTGAGGCTGAGATCTACGCAGGGGCCATGGCTGCACAGGAGCTTCGCTGGCTCACCTACCTGCTGACTGACCTTGGAGAGCCGCCTCGTTCTCCTCCAGTGCTGTACGTAGTCAACAAGGCCATGCTGGCCTTGTGTCGAGAGCAGCGTCTGGAGCACAGAACGAAGCACATTGCTCTTCGCTACTTCCTTGCTCGTGAGCTACAGCAGCGTGGACAGTTGCGGCTTGCGTACGTGGCCTCTGAGGCCAACACTGCTGATGTGTTCACCAAGGCACTCGCGCCTTGTGACCATCAGCGCTTCTGCACCCAACTGGGTCTTGTGCCTGTCTTGCCTCACTTGCTCTCCTCTTGACTTTACTTGTACTGTCACATATATATACCTGCTCTTGCTTGTCTAGCTTTATATATATATGTGTGTACTCCTGCATGTGAACTGGCCTTGTGGCCTTGCTCTTGTGCTCGGACTGTGTGGTGACTTTGTGATCCACCCTGAGCTTTGCTTTGCTTTGCTTGACTGGTCTTGTGACCCCTTGTTCTCCCCCACTTTGCCTATGGGGGTGTGTCAGAACATATATGTAGCTTATGCTGTTGTGTAGGCTACAGTGGGGTATACCATAGGGGGTACAACCCAATTAGGGTTTTGCTATTTGTACTCACTTCACTCATAGTTCATTCATTCTCGTTCTATTTTCCACACGTCGCAATTTCGAGCGCCGACTCCTCAACTTGGCGTACAAGACCGTGGAGTTGCTTCTGCGTTAGTGTCGCAAGAGTGAATTCGGCCAAGGTGGGGGTGTCAGGCAAGCTCAGCGAGAGCCTCTGTTGTGGCCGTGCGTGCTTACGAGAGAGCATTACGAGCGACGGTGTTGTGTCGCTGAGAGACGTCTACCTCCCCCAAAAAAACTGTGATAGTGGGGAAACGAAGGTGTGGGTGGGTGCGGTCCGAGAAGAGATCGTAGGCTCTGAATACCAAGTGTTACGAGTGCAATTGAGTGATCGAACGAGATTTGCACTATTGAAGCAAGAGTACAATGAGTGTAGGCATGAGCGAAGAATATATAGTGAAACTACAGTGGTAACGATAATGAACTGTGGTTGACGCGCGACGGGCCTGGAACCGAGGTTGGGAAAATGTCGAGGCGGAGTCCCAGAGTGCGGGTTACCCGCCGAGCTGTGAGGTCGGGGTGCGACGTGCGAAGGTGGCGGGAGGATTGTCGATGCGAGGGTTGCGAGTGGTAACGGTGCTGACTGTGGTGCTACAGTGGTGTATGCGCTAAGCAGGGACGCAAAGTAAGGAAAGGAATTTTCCTTACAGAAATCAAGAGAAGACACATGTAGTAACAGATAATGGAGAGCGCATTGCAAGGTTACTCATCTTGCACACGTTTGTCATTTTTTGTGCTCTCTTGGCAAAAAATGGTTTGAGGGGTGCAACACTAGCTGCAACATTCCCAAGTTTCCCAATTCTGCAATTTAAGACTTGCTGTCCACTAATGCCGATTCAGCTCACGACCCAATATTGAACTTCCAGTCACAAAAGTATGTCGAATTATATGCCAAGCAGAGCATTCCCCCGACAGCATCAAGGCCTAGCCTTGCAGTGTTAAGCACCTCCTGGTTTTGCTACCGTAACCTTATCGTCTTCAACAAAAACATGCTTCAGAGCTTCATAGCACATGAACGAGATTCCGGCAGCAGGCATTAGCTTGACGCACGACGGCACGAGTCCCCTGTAGAGCCCTTGGATTCCTTGCTCCTGAACGATCCTCTGAATGCAGTCCAATGTCCCCTTGTACACAACACGGCCCTTGAGCGCACCAACTTGCATCTGCAAGTGTACCAATGGGAAGGGGAAGGAGGTTAACATGATGGACAGAACGAAGGAGGTTGATACAGGTGAAGCCTGAATTTTAACCACAGACTAAACCATTACCAGCTTAAAGCACCTGATGTATGACCTCCTGATTTAGGCGGCACCAGTAGCAGAACTTGCAGCACTGGCAGCACCAGCAAATCCAGAAGCAGCACCAAGAGGCTAAAAAAAACACACTGCCGCCCAGCGAGCACACCTCCTCACCCCCATCCCCCCCACCTCCTCCTTCCTCCTCCCCCCTCCTCCTGCCCTCCACCGGTTTCCGAACAACTTTGAAGGTAGAGGGAGCCAGCATATGGCACGATGCCTATCAGGCCGGGCCCCAGTCCCCGGTAGAGCGCATGAGCATTCCGTAGAATCAACCACACCCAACAGCATCACCCACACCCCAAACCACCCAGCGAGCACACCTCCCTACCTCTTTCCCCCCACCCAACTCCCCCCTCCCCCCCCCCCCCCCCCCACACACCTGTTTGCGGGCGACTTCCAAGGGGAACGTGGCTGAGGCAGCAGCAGCACCAGCAAGCGACCCAATGATGAGCGTCGCCAGCGGCTCGATCTTATCCTTCTTTGCAAGCCTCTTGTAGAGCGTGCGCAGCGTGTCGTATGCAAAGTAGTTGGAGCCGGCATACGGCACAATGCCTATCAGGCTGGGGCCCAGTCCCCTGTATAGCTCGTGAGCGCCCTCCTCTGTGATGATTCGGTAGAATGCATGCAGGATGGAACGGTACTCGCCCGGCTGTATGGACAGAAAGGGAAGTGGGGTGGTGGGGGGGTTGGGTGGAGGGGGGAGGGGAAGAGAGAGACAGAAGGCACAGAGGAGTGGCACAGCGGCATGGGCGGGACACGTTGAGGGCACGAAGCACGGTGCCTATGAGGATGGGTCCCAATCGCCGGTGGAGCTCGAGAGTACCCTCCTCTGTGATGATTCGGTAGAATGCATGCAGAATGGAGCGGTACTCACCCGGCTGCTCGGAGAGAAAGGGGGAGGGGGGCGAGGAGGGGGGCAGGCGGAGGGGTCGGCGGGGGGAGGTGTGGGGTGGTGTGGCGGAGCGGAGAGAGATAAAAGGAAAGGGAAACAGGTATATCTGCATGGGTTGGCCCCGTTTTGGTGCTCGAGACTGTTGGACTGAGAACTGGAGTATGAAGGAGCCAGCCTGTGACACGGTTTGGTTAGGACATGAAAACGAAACACGATGCCATTGCCTGTGAGTGAGTCTGGTAAGTGTGACAACGCACACCCCAATGCTTATCCACATGTCCCAGACCCAGTTACGAATCACACCTCAATGCACTGAACGGCTCAACACTGACAAAGCTCACCTGGATGGGGAGCCGCGTCTTGGTGTGACGGGCTCGAGGGGGTACCTGAGGCAGCACGCTGCCACGTCAGCAGCCGACCAGACCTGGCAACTGGCTCGACAACTCAAAACTGATAAGCTACAAGGGGTACATGGTACAGCAGGCTGTGACGCTGGCAGCCACCCCGGCAGTGGACTCGTCAACCCAACCAGCACTGATATTCTCACCTGGATGGTCAGCCGCGTCTTCACGAGCTCGAGTGGGTACATGAGGCAGCAGGCGGCCACGCCAGCACAGATGCCACCAGTGCACTGTACAGCATAATCAACACTAAGAAGCTCACCTGAATGGTCAGCCGCGTCTTGACGAGCTCGAGAGGGTACATGAGGCAGCAGGCGGCCACGCCAGCAGCCGATCCGGCGATGGAGGAGGGCGGGATGGGAATGATGGGCTTGCCACCGTCCGGCGGGGTGAGCAGCTTCTTGACCGTGTCGTACGTGAATAGCTGGTGGTGGAGGTCAGTGGGGGAGGAGACGGGCAGAGGAAGAAGAAGAAGGCAGGCGGAATGAGCGCATGGTGAGCAGCTTCTTGACCGTGTCGTACGTGAATAGCTGGTGGCGGGGAGAAGGGGTAAGGAGGAATGCGCGTATGGGCGCAAGGGTGAGAAGGGGACGCTGGAGCACAGAAAGGGACCGAGTTGACTTTTGAGTCGACTAAAAAATGCGCGTATGGGCGCAAGGGTGAGAAGGGGAGGCTAGAGCACAGAAAGGGATCGCACAGGTTGGTGCTTCCTTGTCTCGTGCCTTTAACGCTCTATTTCTCTTTCTTATTTAGCAAATGGGTTGTGGTCGGACTAGAAATGTAGCATGGGTGAACGGGCACGTATCACTCAGCGTCACAATGCATGCGGTCAATGCAGCAGCTATGAGCGTGAGCAAGCCCACAATGGTTAACTGAACCCTTTCAGGTAAGAGCCCATTGATCTCCTCACATGTGCACCTTTCACCTCCACCGCCGTTTCACTCGACTCTCACCTCCACGGCCTTGCCGGGAGCCACGCGGATGACGTTGATGGCGTTGCCGCGGAACAGCCCGCGCCACCCCTCCTTCTGCATGATCCAGCGGAACACGCCCACGATCGTGCGGTGCCCCGAGCTCCCCACCATCAGATGCGTGCGAATCGTCTCCAACGGCGCCACCACTGCCACATCGCGCAAGTGTATAACAATACAGGTATTACATTGAATGTTACAATCAGTTGCCTGAGCTCCCCACCATCAGATGCGTGCGGATCGTCTCCAGCGGCGCCACCACTGCCACATTGCGCATTTCCATGACCAGTTGATTTGATTTAATCTGTTTCGTTTCGTTTGTTTGATTGTTTGTTTGTTTTATATTTTTCCAAGTGCCAGACAAACGTTCAGGCAGTCAATGTGGCACTTTGAATCAACCACTTCCGAGCGATGCGTTGTTAATAGCGGCAAACGAGGAACGTGCCGCCGCATACGGCGCTTCAAAGACCGAAAACACATATATTCAAAAAGGAAAGGAAGAAGCCACACGCACCTGTGCGTGACACTCCTCCAGCAATGGCTCCGCTGACAAGCTTCTTCGCCGCTCCCCCGAGGCGAATCTGCACTCGGAAGCCACGATTCTCCTTCCACGCCGTTCCCACCACCGTCCCTTCGCCAGCCTCGCCAGTTTCCTCTCGCAACTCTTCGCCAAACTCGACCTTCTCCAAACCACCTGCCGGCGTCGGCGCCTCGGACGACGAATCCGACGCGTATTCCGACCAGCTGAATCCGAATTCTCCATCCACGCACTCTAGGGTTTCCATCTCGTCCAGCGTCTTTTTTCGTCTCAGCTTTTGTCGTTGCCGCTCTGAAAACGTCACCTTGGATTTCATTCGATTTCCAAAGATCGGCTTCGCGTCTTCCTCTTCGAGCTCGCCTGCTTTTCTCAACCGCTGACGCTCCGAAAAGGTAACTTTATCCGGCTTCATGCGATGTCCACGGAAGCCGAAAGCTCCTCCATTCGGACCATTTCCATTTTGAGCCGTTGGTGAACCGGATGCATCGCCATTCGAAGAAGCGGCGAGGGATCTTCGGGAACCGCGACGTCGCTGCTGTTGGCGTTCGGAGAACGACACTCTGCGAGACTCTTGAGGCTTTGAGCTGATCGCTAAGCCTTGAGACGAAGCTGGAGGGTCCATGGCGAAAACACCTATATATTTTCACGCAATTTGTATTCTTTATTTCACTTGTGAGATAAGGCTTGGTAAGAAATAAGCGGTCTTCTCTAGAACACAACCGAAAGTTTTATCTAACTGATCCCTTGACGTTGCAAACACGCGGTTAGCTGAGAGATGGCTGGTCTGTAACAGCCACAAGCTAAGTCCAACAGGACCACGTCTTTCGCAGGTGTAATGCAAAACCGATTCATGCAATTTGGCTTAGATGCCCTTGCGAAGACGCGATGCCGAAGGAAAAATCCTTCTACTTCGGAATTCAACAGCAAAGCAGTAACGGCGCGTGCAGAAGAACTTACGCCTACTCTAATGGTCACTGACCTTAGTCTGTGGTCTGATCTGTACCGCAATGGTCAGTCTCACTGTCTCGCACTATCCAGTCAAGCGTGTGTGTCATCAGTTCCCAAACCACGGTCTGTTCCGGTGCGTTGCGATGAAAAGTGGTGAAATCATGTTACCGTGTATAAGCGTACTGAACCACACTGGACGATTAGCGGGAAAGCCCGTGGGGCACGGCATGAGGCATTCAAGGATGGTCGTGACAGGAAGACCAAATGATGGTGGACGGGGTGCCCCGGTTCTGACGTAACGAGGGAATTGTGACCGATCTGAAGGAGATTCTCTGTGGGAATGGACGCTGCCCAATGAGAGCTAGCGCCGTCGGCTGACCTGGCCGCCACGTGCATGATTTTGAGGAATCTTGTTCGTTTCTGGGGAACAAGATGCTTTCTGGGATGAGGACGTGGCGCTGGAACTTGGGAAGCGCACAACGGATTCGAGCAGGAACACGTTCAGTGCTTGATCATGCACTGTAGTGATATTGCTAAATAACTTATATTTCCGGAATGGTGCGAATAAAGTAGTCATTTTCCAGCCTCCTTCGCTCCAAAAAGGAAAAAAGGCATTGACGGTACAGCCATTAACAAGTTGTTTAGACAGCTTGGTCTACTTGGTGAAGCACTCCATTCAATATCATTTCTGAAGCAAATTTCAAACGGCAGGGTCTATTTCTGGTACAACTGAAGCTACAGCAAGTTGAGTGCGTTTACTGAACTAGCAAGTTATGCACAGAGACGAATAATGAACAGTGAACAGTAACCACTTTTCATGCCTAAATGGGCACGTCGGCTGCTCTCATTACCACATCCACCATAACTCATCCGAACGCAATTTAATAGCTAAATTTCATGAGCCACTTCCTCCTTGAGAATATCCCCAGCTCCTGCGAACGGGCCGCCTGCTCCTAACCGACCTCGTGGAGGAGTACTGCAAGCTCTCTGGAGGTGCGTTCCCGTGAAAGCATGCCGACGGAAAAAACGAACTGGTGACGCCGTCATTGACGGCGAACTGCGGCCGTCACCAGTTGACGGTCGGCTGTCACATCCTGACGACCAGCTGTGGCGGCTGAATGGAGCAGCCGTATATGGAGACGGGTTTGAGTCTGAGAGGGGAGGACCTGAGAAATTCCACTCTTCCTCCATGGAGGGGCGTTGAACAGACTCTCCTCCAGGGTCATTTGATGGAATGGCGGGGTTGCGACTCAGTGAGATCGACGGTTCCAGGGATTTGCGCATGGAGTTGTGACGTTTGACAGCCGGACGACGTGGGGCCGAGGAGAATCTGGAAGCGGTAAGCTGCTCATTAATAATCGACTGCGGAGGACTGTGCGCAGTAACTATCGACATTTGCGTAGATATGTTTCGAATTAGGTGTATGAAGGCAGCTGGAAATAAGGATCAAATGTGAGGGACTGCGAAGAAGTCACTAAACGGAGTGGGAGCTGTGAATGTAGAATGTTCACTTGAAATGGTCGAGAGCAAAGAGTCGTTATTCAAACACAACTTGGGAAATAAGTACAGCGGAGTCTGCGCTGGAGGGCTTGGTTGGGAATGAGATTCGTGAAAGGACAAACCATGAGACGAAATCTGAAGTGGAGAGGAGCAAGAGGGAGGTGTGTGAGGATGATGTGAGAGAGGGGAGTGCGAAGGCGATGTGGAGGAGGCGGGTGAATGAAAGCTGGCATGGAGGGGATGAGGTCCGTCAGACATGATGATGGTGGTTATGCGGTCGCTGATTCGTTGAGTCAAAGGACGAGTTAATGATACACGTCACTACAGTCGACTTGCACGCGGAGCCGCTGTTTTGTTCGCTTGTCCTGGACCACCGAACCAAGTCAAAGACTGGCCCAAAAAGCAAGAGCAAACATCCTCAACGCACTGTACACCCGACCTGCCCGTTTGATTGCGGGCTTGGCGTTCACTGTACTGCAATGGAAACATGGGAATCACACAACACAGCCCGAAGTTTCCAGGTTCTAGAAGGATCAAACACTTCAGGGAACTCGTGTTTGCTCCTGCTCCACAACTTTCAGGATGACCAATTTGAAACCTACAGTGCAAATTACAGAAGAACGCGGAAACTGTCCAAACAAATGACAGCTGCTCGGGCATGTGAACGAGGAATATGACAAGCCCAGAAGGCATCGAACAACCTGAGGCCGTTGATCGAAGTTCCACGGGCAATTTACTGCTGTACAGCTGTACAGTATGGTGGTGGGAAATCGAATGGGGAGATCCTCCAACGTGCCTCGATCGCAACGATTCTGTCTCACAAATGCACCAACCATCGGTGCTGCTGGTTTGGGCGAAGCTGCCCAAGTTGCCCACATAATTAACATGGGACTGAAGTGCTTCGCTGTTGCCTTCACGCGGTTTTCTTTCAAACAGCTGCGAACACCTCACACGTCTATGGTTCCACAGTCAAGTTGTTAGGAAGTACTACACTTTAAGCAATTTCACGTAGGATCAGTCCGCCAAATATCAGTCAAGCCCAAGTGATTGTCGGACAAAAGCCAATAATCCTGCATCATGGGAGGATCGGGGACACATGAAACATAATAAAAGCAAGTACTTTACGTTACACGTGCAAGCTACCATATAGAACAATCAACCAATGTGCGTACAGATAGAGGGAACGAATAAACAAGCAAGAACAATCATCACCTAAAGCAAAACCAGTAAGTGGTGCAGATAACATTTTGATACGGTATTGCCGCACTCACCACTGGCTCGGCGGGAACGACTCTCATTGGTCCAGCCGCGTCCCCTGGCATTCCTGGCATTGTCATCCACATGTCCCCCTCCCCATCCCCCATAGCCATAGCTCCTCCACCTCCACTCCCCCTCCCCTCTCCACATCCCCAGGTCCCAGGACTTGAGTCTATTCCCACCCCTGATACCATAGCTGCCCCCTCCTGCTCTACTCCCCCTCTGCCTCCTTCTTCTGCTGGCGCTGCTGCTGCTAGCACTTCACCAGCAGTCGTTGCTGCTGCTGCTGCTGCTGGTCTTGTTTCCGTTGCAGCACTCCCGGTTCCCCCGGTGGCATTCCCAGTAGCAGGCGCAACAGCAGGAGTGGCTTGGTCGGTGCCACAGTCAAACTTCTCCTCAAACCGGCTGGGGATGCACAGGGACAGAACAGGCACATGAGAGAGAGAGAGAGAGAGAGAGAGAGAGAGAGAGAGAGAGAGAGAGAGAGAGAGAGAGAGAGAGAGAGAGCTTAGCTCCAGGGGGACATCCTCCACACGCTGGAGGGCTAGAGGGTCACTCAGGGGGGAGGGGAGGGGAAGAGGGGTGAGTTGATGGGCTTATGGGATTGAGGTTATCATGGATAGAACTGCATGTATGTACCCCTGCTGAATTAATACAACAGACCATTTGACAGAGAGAGAGAGAGAGAGAGAGAGAGAGAGAGAGAGAGAGAGAGAGAGAGAGAGAGAGAGAGAGAGAGAGAGAGAGAGAGATCTCAAAGCTGCCTAATTGCGCGGGAGCGTGGCGGGTCCTCATGTTCCTGCCACGTCTCACGCTAAGACTTAGCCGGAGATCCAGCTCTAGGTGGAAACTACTGCGGGCACAGATGCATGTATTCCGATGTGGCCACTGGACCCAGCTGTACACTGAATACTTGGGGTCAATGCACCTGGCTGAACCACCTCAGCACCAACGTGACCCGCTGGGAATCTGCTCACGTGCAGAGGGATTGGTGAAAAGGGGTAACCTGCGAAAGGCGTTAGCGGCCCTTCAACCCTCGCCATCAGCACCAGCGACATTCGCGACACTGCAGCAGCTGGAATAGAAACACCCCCAACCCCAAAATGACCTGCCCGACTGGGTCCACTCCTACACGACACCCACACAATTTTCAACCACCCTGGAAAGCTTTTCGGACGTCCTCGGGGAATGCCCCAGGGGGATTGGGGCTGGCCCATCGGGGTCAACCTTCGAACACTACCGCGATCCAGCGCTAAGTAACATCGAGGTACTAGGGCACCTCCACTCCGCCGTTAAACACCTTCTCTCGACAAACCTTTCCAACGAGGTTGCAGCCCTACTCGCCCCGTCCCGCCTTATAGCCTTCGCCAAACCAGGGAGGGGGGTACGCCCAATCGCGATCGGAGAAACATTGCTTAGGCTGGCGGCGAAAGTGGCACTCTCAGACCTGCAAGGAGAAACGCGAAAATTTTTCCTACCTCAACAATTTGGCGTGGCAGTCCCGGGAGGTGCTGAGTTCGTCATCCATGCAGTCAGAGACCTCACCACCGTACAGCCCTCCAGCCTAGTCCTCCAACTCGACATTGAGAACGCGTTCAACTCAGTCGAGAGGAGCGCGTTCTTCAACGCACTTATCGGCTCCCCGCTAGCCCCCCTCATCCCCTTCACACGCTCTTTCTACGCATCACCATCACCGTTGCTGCTAGA